TAAGAATAATTCTAGTAAGAATAATTCCAGTAAGAATAATTCCAGTAAGAATAATTCTAGTAAGAATAATTCCAGTAAGAATAATTCCAGTAAGAATAATTCCAGTAAGAATAATTCTAGTAAGAATAATTCCAGTAAGAATAATTCCAGTAAGAATAATTCTAGTAAGAATAATTCTAGTGTATTGCATGACGCAGCGCATGCACTCATTTAATTGAAGTTCACGAGCGCGAAGAAAAGATGGCGGACTCATGCCATTAGAGAGCGAGGTTGAGATCGTTAAGAACGTTATAACTCATAACATTGTTCGTTTCAACACGAACTCTGACTTTCCAAGTGCCTTCAACACAATGAACTTTAACAACAAATCGAAAAAAAATACTTCAATTATTACCCATAGCATTTCGTTGAAAACCAATGGTTTTAATGATATAATTAAATAATTGGTTTAATGGTATAGTTAACTAATGAGTTTATTTGATGCTATGAAATACAACTTGATGTCCCTCAGCTTTATTTAAAATAGAGGTAGTGAAATGAATGAGTTTAGTGTTATAATTTAGCAATATACCGTGATTGCTGTACCAATACATTGAGTGTCCAAAACAAACTCTCGCCACACAGAAGCATCAGAACGAAACAAGTTATAGCAAATATAAGCGATAATAAAATGTATAAAAAAAATTTTTAAAGACCACGTTTTTCATGTGGACTCAAAAGTAGAAAATAATTTTTCGGCAGCTACTGATCTCTTGTTCCAACCCCTGCTTGTGAGTTCCTTTAGAGTTTATACGCCTGGAAACGTGCAACAAATTATTGATTATTGTATTGTTATCGGGAGCTGAGCTTCCCTAAATGTTTCAGAGCGCTAGCTAATGGGAAAGTTGGTGAAATATCGATTGCAAGATTTGATCATCACAGACACGAAAGCGAGCTAAGAAAAACGTGGTAAAAACGTGAGAGGCGCAAGTAATTGCAAGAAAATCCCTGTTACAAAGTTGAGGGGCAGTTTTGCATCAGGTCAATTCTGGTAATTCATGAATAAATTGTGCCTTTGCAGACTGGACATTCTTTTACTGAAAGAAGTTTACACTTTCAGAATTTCAATGCAGAATTTCAGCGTCTACGAAGCGGAATTTTTTACAAGAGACGATGAACGCCGGCATAAATCAAGTGAGATTTCGTGGAGATTTAACGTTCGAGTCGAGAAATCAAGAGATTTAGTATTCAAACATGGTGGAAACTTGAGCATGTTAACTGTGATGAGTTTGGGTGGCTTGAATATAAAACATGCCTTAAAGCAATAAAAAGCTTAAGGCAAATAAGAGCATCCAGTCCGACCTTCCTTCACATACTCCAGAAGTTTCATTAGTGCTTAAATGCTAATTACGAAATAATTGCGTTATGAAGCCGTAGATTTAGTCAGCTGATACATGTTAATTCAATTACCTCAAACGAAAAAGCGAACGAGTGGAGAAAAACGAATTTTTTAGAGGTTTAACGAAAAAAAAAACTTTTTTATTTCTACTTAATTTTTTAGTTTCTCTTGCAAAACTCGACCTCCAGTTTAACAAAGACATCGTTTAACTGCTAGCTAGAGATTCTTCCATAGAAATTCATTTCGCATAATTTGAGTGATGACGTGCAAAAAATCTCAATTACATCTAGTCAATATTCACTCGAAGACCTCAAGCAGTTATGCTGCATTATATTAGCAAGGTCATAAATAGAAATAGCAAGTATTAGCTTATACTTGTGAACGCACGCAAATCTTGCACGTTAATGCTAATAATAATATTTATCGTTTACCAAGGCATCCAGGAACTGGAGTGACCTCAGTAAGTTTCTCTTCAAACATGAAAGCGCAGTTTCTGTGTGAAGAACGCAGCTCACAATGCAGTTGACGCTGCTGCAGAGAAGGCTTATTGACTGAGCAAACTTCCGCGCCGTGCTCGGCCATCATCGTAACGTCGTGGCCATCGTAGATCGCTGTAAATCTTTACGGTGCAGCCGTGTTCTGTGTTACACATGAGTTACGATGAGGCCGCGAGTCCATTTTCTAGATTTATAATGACGCAGTCTACACAAATGACGATAACTGTCTCCATGATAATAACAAAAATATATATATCCCAACACTGGTGACAACGTCAGCTGCCACTACGCTCGTACAACTACGTAACTACAAACAAGAGTTGTCCACAGCGAGGAAATGATCATTGAACACTTGATCCGGGAGTAGGAGAACGTGTCCGACGCCTGCCGTGGTCGGGGCGGGTCAGTGCGAGGTGGCGGGACTTGGTCAGCAGCGCTGGCGGGTCAGTGCGAGGTGGCGGGACTTGATCAGCAGCGCTGGCGGGTCAGTGCGAGGTGGCGGGACTTGATCAGCAGCGCTGGCGGGTCAGTGCGAGGTGGCGGGACTTGATCAGAAATGACGGCGGACGCGTGGCTGTTGCATGCCAAGGCCTGTAGTTTTACGGGGCATTCGCACCTCCGCACTACCACCCTTTTGCCACACGGTTAATGTACGAACCATACGGTTAAGTGGTAACACACGCGCCACAAGATTAATGGGCCACACACGCGCCACAAAGCTAATGGTCCATACACACGCCAAAGCTATTGAGTGAAATCTCAAATAGTGTCAGAAGAGTTTGTTTTGTCACTCCGCAGTTGAGAATGTTTCGTTAACTCTGGCTATAAGGGAGCTGATTGCGCAACGATTTGCATATGCATTTTAAAACGTTGCCTAAAACACGAGTTCCTTTCAGGAATTATTCCTCTTACAAAATTTGACCGGTAACTTAAGAAAAGGTTCGTTCACGTATAACATATCAACGTGCGCGTGGCTGCGAAATGTTAGATATATGTTAGATGCCTCGTCTATATGCGTATTCATATTCGTCGTTTTCTACTGATAATCGATTTCGGTTAACTATACGTGTTATTCGAGTTTTAGATAACAGAGTTAATTGTTTTATTACTGATTTTAAAGATATCTTGCACACAGTAACTTTTCGATATTTTCGTTCGTCAAATAAGAAAATATTTCAGACGTAAATGAGGATCGAACTTAAACGACCGTGGCACGGTTAGATCATATGATACAAAAATATCGTGAACGTTCCAATACTCTCCTTTTCAACAAGGCAACCCTCAACTTGATAGTTTTAAAGGACAAAACATGATTGATAAGAAGTATTTGAATATTTTTAGTCACACCAAGAGCATGAATAACTTTAATAATTCAGTTATGTTAGGGATTCTAATCACAATCCAGAAAATTGGAATTCTAATCACAATGCATAAAATTCCATCCACCGAAGAAGCATGACGCGACATGCCCTAAAGGAACATGGTGACTAACAGGAACGAGTGAGGCGATCAGAAAACTCAGGACGACACAAAAAAGTTGCTTAGACGAGAATATCGAGGAAGCGAGGAAGAGTGCGAGTGACGTCACTGCAGTCCCTCACTTCCAGGTATATAGGCCAGCTTTTGATCTTAAAAGCGAAAGCGAGTTCATTGAGAGCCTGCAACTTGCGCCTCACGTCTTCGTGTTTAGACAACAGCCACGGTAGCGGAGGGAGGCTACAGCTAAATCAAAATAAAAGAAGCTGGATCAAAATAAAACAGCAAAATTAATTTTTTGAATGGCAGCAGAATCAAAATAAAAGATTCTGCTTGAAAAATTGTACAGGCCACATCAGGCCTATATATACTCTTTAGCGCCGACATCACTATGTTAGACAAAAAACTATATATATGGTTTCATGAGACGAATTTGATAGAATCGAGTTGAATTGTATGAATTTAAGTTCTTCAGTATATATGAAAGTTTTTCGTTCAGCTTAGCAACATGAAAATGATTTATTTTCCATGCTTAGAGTCGTAGTAGATTATTTTTAGCGATTTCAGCATTTAACAGCAACAATTTCCTACGTAAAGTGACTTCCACGCGCCACAAGATTAGTGGGCGGCATTTTCCATCGAAGCAACTTTTCATAACATGAAGACGCTCAAGATACATAGCGTTTAAGCCACGTGTCAAATCCTTAATATTGCAGCACCAATTAAAATAACACGACATACAATTGTCCTTGAGCCAGCTAGTGACGACCTTGAAGATAGAACTATGATTTTCATTCAACAATTTTCAGCACAA